AATCCAAAATTTTGAGTTGTCACCAGAACAGAAATAGAGAAAAATTCTCCAACGGGACCACTTGTTCCAGTGACCGCTGACTAAAAAGGGTAAAACAGCTACATTCTAAACTGTAATTAAGTTTTAGACTCTACAAACAAACCACCAAACTCTTTTATTGACAGACAGACCTCCAGCTAGTAAGTCTGAGCAGCTGTCATCCTTTCACTGCCTGAACATCCAGGTGGCTCATTTAGGAATGACTTTCTGTTTATTTAGCCATCCTCTTCTAATGTCCTCCTGGTTCCAGTCTGTTCCTGCCCTCCTAGAGATCCACTGCCTTGTACCGTATTAGTGAACCATCTAATCCCAGCTGTAGACACTATTGTTGAACCTGCACAGCCATAGATGGCTAGACCAATTGTGAGAGGGCTCTGGTTGCATTTTTTTTTTTTAAGAAAGGTGGGGGGAGAGCGGTGGTAGTTGAGTTGGTTGGAGAAACTGATAGTCATGGGGGTTGGGCCAGTGTCACAGGTCTTTTCAACAGTATTGAAAAGCTGACAGCAAGGTCACAGTGATGTCTTAAAAGGACAGAGAGTTCGGATCAAGGGTTTGAGATGCAACTTTCTGCCTAGTAACAGGGGGGTTCGCTCTTGGCTAGACTTCTCGATAATAATTCACCTATACATGTGTAATCTGAACATAAAATATAGTTACCAAAACATTCCAGGAAAACTGGCAATACATGTTCCTGAGTTAGGAAAAGTTGGTGGTGCAGTTTGCATGCCATTTTACCTGCCTGGTGAGCCATTGCTTGGAGCGGGATGGTCTGCAGAATTGAGGGACTTTCTTGAAGAAAAAGAAACATGTTGCCACTGTGAGCATGCAGTAGTCTGGGAACAAGCGTCAATTGGAATGGGACTTCTGGGGACCCGTTGGGTTTGCCATGCCATATCCAGTTTTTCTTCCCACTGCCCCAAAGTCACCTTACGGTTTATGTAAAGCCTAAACCTTTTTTTTTGCTATTGTTCCTTTTGGACAGGGTAAGGAATGGTTCAAACCACTGAAATGTATTTGTATTGCAATCCCATTGGTGAGATTTCCATTCACTTCCTGCTTTGGAAAACATCTCAAAGTCTAGGGGAAATCACCTCTTCAATCATTGAGTCTGAAACTGGTGTCCCCTTTGGAGATTTCCCTTTTGACCTAATATTTAGGTGACCTCTGTTTTAAATTCTGGATTGGATATAGATATGTTTGATTGAGTTATAATTTGAACATTCTATAGATATCATTTTTGATTGTGTATCCACATCCTAGATGTGTTTTGGCTTTCAAACTCTTTTTTTTTGTTTGATACTTGGTTTTAAAACTGTGTTTTTTATCTTTTGGAATTACCACACTTCCTAAATTCCTTATTTTTTACTCTTCTTAAATTTTACATTTACGAGGAATTGGGAGCCAGTTCCAAAAAAGGATTCATATGTAAGATCAGTGTTCAGATTGATGACCCCAGCTGGGACTTAGCAATATAGACCAGACAGAGGTTATTCCACTCCAGCCAAATCTAAAGAAGAAAATGTTTTGGCTTTAGGGGTACATGTTAGGCAGCCCATTGAATGCTGCCATATTTGCCCTCAATGGGAACGTGCAGGTTCCACTCTCTTCCAGTGATGGGAAGTATATTCTATCCCGCCATATGATTTCTTAGCTGGGCTGTCAGTTGGAGGATGGGAATATAAAGCACAGCCCTTGTCACTAAAGAGGGAACTGTCCATGTTTGTGCGCCCCCTGGAGGAGAGGGTGAGGGGGAAGGTCAGGTACAGTCTTTGCACCAATTCCCCGCCAGCAGTGCAAAAGAAAGTTGGAGAATGTTAACACTTAGAGCAGGGGCGGACTGACAACTCATGGGGCCCACGGGCGATAGGGGATCATGGGGCCCCTGTGTCCTTCCCCAAACTCAAAAAAGCCTATGAAAAAGGTACCAGGGGCATCTCATGGGGCCCCCTACTGACCCCGGGCCCTCAGGCAGTGCCTGAGTTTCCAAATGGTCAGTCCGCCCCTGACTTGGAGGATATCAATTCCTTGACCTCACCGTAGAAATTGGTATCAAATGTGGGGAGCAGACAATGAAAATTGGCTGCTTCATACAATTTTTTTTTGTATACTTTAATTATAGGTTCCCTTTTTTTCCTAAGCTACACCTTTTACTAATCTAATTTAATACATTTTTTCCCATAAACTGGTTCTTTGTCCAAAGTGATTGCAGAGTTCAAAGTGCAGCCATTCTGTGACTTCTTGTGCAGCTGGAGGTCAGCAATAGGCCACCTCCATTGACACCAGCACAGTGCCACAATCAAGGCATTCTGAGGGGCAGACTCTAAAGCAGGTCATACGTGCGTCGAATTCCGAGCGATTGTTAGTTCGAAAATCGTAAACATCGTTCATTCTGTAATCCGATGGTGCTACCAATGATTTCGTTTTTTACAAATTTTCCAGGATCCCTGATAAACGAACTGGGGAAGAACCACAAAAATCGGCCGGTGCCATTGCCCCACTAACAGAGCAAAAATTGGTCAATTATTCTTAGGTTCGATTTTCGAATTAAAAATCATTAAAAAATCAACCCATGTACAGCAGGCCTTAATGTGTCTAAAACTGGCATCATGGGCCACCGATGAGCTCCAGCCTGTGCCATACGATGCTGCAGTGCTTAGCTTGCACTCTGACATCTGGAAGGTGGCTTGTTGTTTGGGGGGGGGGGGGGGTAGCGATTTTTTTTCTAGACAAGCAAGCCCAATGTGTTATCCATAGCGGTGTTTTTGGAAATGTTAGCCTGTGTCTCCCCCTAATGGCTGTCATGAATAGTGGTAGAGAGTCGAAATCATTTTCAGGGCCGTGGAATGCATAGTTCATTGACATTAGTCCCTGAGGGAGTATAGGAGGGGAATATAATTACTGCTCTGTAATTCAATTGTATTTTACAGGAATGACAACACTACTGTAAATTGTAATGATATTTTCCAAGAGTTACCCATCTGCTTTCCACTTCTGTTAGTATATGTGATGTCCTATATAAAAAAAGAAATCACACCTCTTTATATAAAGTCATATTTACATTGGTGACATCACTGCATTCTATATACAGTAATGTTTAAAGTGGTGACATCACTGCATTCTATATACAGTCATATTGTACAGTGATGACATCACTGCATTCTATATACAGTCATATTGTACAGTGATGACATCACTGCTCAGTGGAAAAATAACTATCCTCCATATATTATTATTATTATTATACAGGATTTATATAGCTCCAACAGTTTGCTCAGCGCTTTACAATATAACGGGAGACAATACAGCAACAATACAGTTTAATACAAGAGGGTTAGGAGGGCCCTGATCCTTGGAGCTTACAATCTAGGAGGGAGGGGCTGGTGGTACAAAAGGTAATAACTGTGGGGGATGGACTGCGAGGAGGAGTAGAAAATTCCGTTATTAGCTCAGGGTAGGATAGGCTTCCCTGAAGAGATCGGTTTTCAGAGATCGCCTAAAAGTGAGCAGAGTAGGCGATGGTGAGATAGATTTGGGTAGGGAGTTCCAGAGGATGGGAGAAGCCCCGGAGAAGTCCTGGAGGCGAGCATGGGAGGAGGAGACGAGGGAGCTAGAGAGCAGGAGGTCGTGGGAGGAGCGGAGAGGACGGTTTGGGTGATATTTGGAGACCAGATTGGTGATGTAATTTGGGGCAGAGTTATAAATGGTTTTATATGTTATTGTTAATGTTTTGAATTTTATTTGTTGGGCAATGGGAAGCCAGTGGAGGGATTGACAGAGAGGGATGGCAGATATGGAACGGTTGGTAAGGTGGATGAGTCTGGCAGCAGCATTCATGATATACAATCATATTTCCAATGGTGACACATTACTTTTATACACAGGTTATACTTGCAGCAGTGACATTCCTGCTCTCTATATACAGGTTATGGTGACTTCACTGAGCGCCGTATGCTGCTATATTTACAGTACTGACATCGCTGCTCTCTATATACAGGTTATATTTACAGTAGTGACATCACTGCTCTCCATATACAGGTTATATTTACAGTAGTGACATCACTGCTCTCCATATACAAGTTATATTTACAGTAGTGACATCACTGCTCTCCATATACAGGGTATATTTACAGTGGTGACTTCACTGCTCTCCGTATACAGGTTATATTTACAGTAGTGACATCACTGCTCTCCATATACAGGTTATATTTACAGTAGTGACTTCACTGCTCTCCATATACAGGTTATATATACAGCAGTGACATCACTGTTCTCTATAGACAGGTTTACAACAGGGTGACTTCATTGAACTTCATATACAACTATATTTACAGTATTGATCTCACTGCTCTCCATATTTAATTATATTTCAAGTGGTGACATCACTACTTATAATATACAATTACATAAATATATCACTGTTCTCCATATGTAGCCATATTTATAATGGTGACATCCTTGTTCTCCATATGTAGCCATATTTATAGTGGTGGCATCCTTGTTCTCCATATGTAGTCATATTTACAGAGATGACATCCTTGTTCTCCATATATAGCCATATTTACAGTGATGGTATCATTGTTCTCCATATGTAGCCATATTTATAATGGTGGCATCCTTGTTCTCCATATGTAGCCATATTTATAATGGTGGCATCCTTGTTCTCCATATGTAGCCATGTTTACAGTGCTGACATCCTTGTTTTCCATATGTAGCCATATTTATAATGGTTCTATCCCTGCTTTCCATATGTAGCCATATTTACAGAGATGACATCCTTGTTCTCCATATGTAGCCATGTTTACAGTGCTGGCATCCTTGTTCTCCATATGTGGCCATATTTACATCGGTGACTGCTTTCTAAATGCATGTTCTGATTTACAGCCTTTCATATTTATTAGCATAATGTATAGCTTCATGTTTTGAATTGTAGAACATTAAATACATTTAGTTCCCTTTAAGGAATGGTTTGCCATTTGTGTCTTGCGAGGGCTCAAAGTTTCCAATCTCTTGTAGAGCGGGAGTCCAGGGAGGAAGACCCAACTACATCAGAGACAGAAGAAACCTACCCAACAAAGCCACGCAAAGGGGGCCGTGGGGTCTCGGAACACAAAGCCATCGCCCTGAACAACTTCCGTCAAAAAAAGCAGTCTGCCTCGAGGATCGTGTCCGTGGAGAACAAAGGCCAGACTCACTCTTCACCCGAGTACAGCATCGAGTCGGAGATGGTGAGTGAAAGGTGTCAATGACTGGTTGAAGAACATGTGACAGGTTGAACACTTGTGTTAAATTAGTTTTTTGGTTTGGTTTTTGTTTTTTTAATAGTAAGAGTCAATGGAAGGGTCCATCCAAATTCTGCTGCTTGCATTTAACTCTGCCATCTCGTGGCAATCTTCATCTTAGGAGCCTTTTTCCATTTGACACCAATGACTGTGGCTAACATTCCTGTGTGGAGCCACAATGGGTTTTTAGTAAAATCTTGCCTGTTGGGGTTCTGGTGAATTTTATCCATAGGTCAATTTTCTATAGTTGTATTTTTCATACAAAACTATTGAGTATCGGCCTGCAAGTGGCTGTGTAAAACAAGATCCAACCACAAAATCCAATAGTTGTGTTTTTTTCATGAACCCATGCAAATTTGGTCCAAGTTTTCCTTTTGTTTTGGATGGAGTTGGGAAAGATACAACTCACTTTCAGGTTTTTTTCTTCTTGTCCCCATTGGGGAGATTCCTTTTTGTATCCTATCCTAGTGACATAGAGTCAGAGGGACAGTAAATGATGGAAATACCTCAAAGGAGACAGAGGTGGCAACAAAAAGCTTATATATATTTTTTTATAGTATAGTTGGGAGGGGTTGGAACCTTGATTGGTTTTATCGCTGTGTCTTTCTGTCTGGGTCCATTTTTAATTTCTTCGTAGTATCATAGTATATCAAACTTTGCCATGTTGAGGGTGCCCAGTACAAAAGTTCATGACACTTCAGTTTTGGCTCAAAGTTTTATTAATATAAAGAATTGGAAAGCCAATGCATTCGAAGGAAATGCCTCCCCCTTGAGGGCTGAAGTCATAGATACCAGTGAGCTAGCGGTGAGATCTCATTAGGAAAGATGCCTATAACTGAGCTTGATCTGAGCTGTCAGATCCATTATCTTGAGCAAGACAATTTGGTCTAAAGAAAATTTGGACTAGAACTTTTATGCCATTAATTTTTTTACCGGATGCTCCTCAGCACTCACTCCAAAGTTTGATATCTACTGCATGTCCTCTTTTGAGACTATCAAAGAGGCATCAGCCAAAAAACTGAACAAGGTTCAGCCTACATTGCCCATTCATTGTTTCTCAACCCCTTTGAAGGACGAGTCACTCTGGTTTAAATCCAAGAAGTACATATATCCCACTTTTACTGGTCCAGTGCTACCCTACACACACCAGTGCGTATCATAGTGTGTCACTCAGACATACTGTAAGAGGCGTGACTAGAACCTTCAGGGCTCTGGTGCAAGAAACCATGAAGATCCCCCTGAGACTCCCGGAGCCCTTTACTCCTGTCGTGGGGCTTTCACATGTTCTGCAGTGAGCCCCTTTCCTGCCATCTTGGAGGGGTGGAACATCAGGGAATGGTCGCAAGTGACCTTTGTGACCCTTTTAGTTCCACCGCTGCTGTAAGTGGAAATCTCTCAATGTAGCAATAAAAACGTGCTAAACGTTCTAAACCTTTCACACCGTATTCAAACCTAAGAATAAAAATCCTGTCTGCAAATGGGCATTAAAGTGAAAAGCTAGTGAAATGAACCTCTTTCTCCTACAATGACTAAGCATCAATACATTTTGTTTTCCAGGGTCCTTGCCGTAGACAGATGGAGACCGTTATGCAGGACATGAAGATGTCTCATCGCGTGTATCCAAGGGCATTCTATATTCCCAACTGTGACCGTAAAGGATTCTTCAAAAGGAAACAAGTAAGAACATCTCAAAATGTCACAGACTCACATTCATCAACCTAGCATGAAAGTATCAACAACAAAGGACCTTTGCCTTTCTTTGATTAGTAATATTGAAAAGTATCTGTCATCTGTACACAAGCCTGGTTTTGTGGAAAGGTCACTTAGGTGAGGGCCTAGGGCAGAAAGATTTTCAGGTGGGTGTGGAAGGTTGGCAGATCGTCTCAAATTTCATTTTTTTTTTCACCTCTTTCATAGTAAATCTTCAGGAAGAAAAAATGTTTGAAAATGAAATAGTAGATGTCTCCCTTTTGGTTGGGGCGGAGCAGGTGTCTGATCCTCATCGGGTCTCTTCTTTTGTCTTAGGACCTAATTTTGAGGTCCATTTCCTCCTCCCATGCCAACTCGAGCTTATGAAGTTTAAAGCAGCTCATTTTCGCCTTAGGCCTTGGTCAGTCTGTGCTATGTTTTTATGGAGATTACACAATTAAACAGATCTCACTGTATCCTGCTCCTTCTTTTGGATTCTTGATAGGGATATTTGGAGAACTTATGACTGGTGATTAAATTTGTGTTTTTAATTACCAAAAAAAAACATTTGGCAGATTTTCAAAATTTTTAGTATTAAAGAATACCGGTATATCCTTTATCTCCCCACCACATATGTAAATATATATAATTTTCTCCTTTTTTTGACCCCTGCTTACCTGAGTTCAGCATATTTTAGATACTTACCCACCCAGTGGATTCAGCGTTGAATGAAGTAATATGCCTCCTAGGATATGTGATGTGCATATCCCAGGAGGCAAAGGGAGGAAAGTGTACACCGTTCGCTTAGGCCAGGGTTTTCCAAAACAATGGGTCAGTTTACTGATCTTCAAACTTTAGGGGGGCCGCACTGTGGTCAGTGGGAGTAAAGAAGGTCAATAGGAGTTTTAGTGCCCCATCATTGGTGTCAATGGGAGGAATAGTGCCCCATCATTGGTGTCAATGGGAGGAATAGTGCCCCATCATTGGTGTCAATGGGAGGAATAGTGCCCCATCATTGGTGTCAGTGGGAGGAATAGTGCCCCATCATTGGTGTTAATGGGAGGAATAGTGCCCCATCATTGGTGTCAGTGGGAGGAATAGTGCCCCATCATTGGTGTTAGTGGGAGGAATAGTGCCCCATCATTGGTGTCAATGGGAGGAATAGCGCCCCATCATTGGTGTCAATGGGAGGAATAGCGCCCCATCATTGGTGTCAATGGGAGGAATAGCGCCCCATCATTGCTGTCAATGGGAGGAATAGTGCCCCATCATCGGTGTAAATGGGAGGAATAGTGCCCCATCATTGGTGTCAATGGGAGGAATAGCGCCCCATTATTGGTGTCAATGGGAGGAATAGTGCCCCATCATTGGTGTCAATGGGAGGAATCACGTCCCGTCATTGGTATCAGTGGGAGGAATAGTTCACCGTCATTGATGTTATTGGGAGGAATAGTGCCCCATCATTGGTGTTAATGGGAGGAATAGTGCCCCATCATTGGTGTCAGTGGGAGGAATAGTGCCCCATCATTGGTATCAGTGGGAGGAATAGTGCCCCATCATTGGTGTCAGTGGGAGGAATAGTGCCCCATCATTGGTGTCAGTGGGAGGAATAGTGCCCCATCATTGGTGTCAGTGGGAGGAATCGTGCCCCATCATTGGTATCAGTGGGAGGAATAGTGCCCCATCATTGGTGTTAATGGGAGGAATAGTGCCCCATCATTGGTATCAGTGGGAGGAATAGTGCCCCATCATTGGTATCAGTGGGAGGAATAGTGCCCCATCATTGGTACCAGTGGGAAGAAAAGTGCCCCGTTGTCAGTGGCAGAAACTATGCCCCACTGTTGCTGACAGTGGGGGGAATAATGCCCCAAGGGCCAGATAAAAGCAAGTATAGGGTCGCAGTTTTGAGACCACTGGCCTAGGTGAATGACATGCATTAGGGTCAAGGGAGCTTTTTTTCCTGGGGAAAAAAATTTTAATGTAGGAGAAAAAAAGCTTGAGGACCAGAGGAGGGGAGGAGTGGCGGGATAATGTTTTTCAGGGTGAAGATCTGCTTTAAAATTTATGTTTTGTTTTCCTTTCAGAAAGTCCATTTTCTTAAAACTATTTTTTTTTTTTACCTGACAGTGCAAGCCCTCCAGAGGTCGCAAGCGTGGGATCTGCTGGTGCGTAGATAAATACGGACTTAAGCTTCCTGGAAGCGATTATGCCGCCGGTGACCTGCAGTGCCACAGCTTCGACAGCAGCAACATCGAATGATCCTGCCACAATCTCAGTAACGCTAAGACGGCCCAGGTGGACACGATCACTCTTGTTTTTTGTTACATGTTCCTGGAATATCCAGAGGAAAATTATTTTTCTTTTTTTTTTTTTTTTTTTTTTTTTTTTTTTAATTTTTTTTTTTTTCCTCATCTCATCAGCAATGGGAAAAAAAAATATTGAACGCTTCAGAAGATAACACAAAATAAAGACAATGATGAAGAAGCTGAGGAAAGATGAACTTCTGTTGAATAAAAAAAGAAATAAATAAAAACGGAGTGAAGCTTGAGGCAACGGAAAAAGTGAATTTAAAAAAGTTGAGGCTTTTCCGTTTTCAGAATCTGTTGCGTGTTTTTTTAAAATATTTTTTATTTTTGACAAGGGGGAAACTCCCAGTAAGCTTTTCTTGGCTCCATGCTGTTCTTATTTTTTTTTTTTTTTTTGTATCATCTGACTGAGGAAGATGGCAGCGCATCTAACAGAGAAAAGAAAATGTATTTTTTTTTTTTTGTTTTTTTTTTAAAGAAAATTTAAAAAATTGACAAGCTTCCAGGGCTCAACCAAAAGTCCTTGAAAGATAGCTTGTCAATGCAGACAGACATTTCCTGCCCTCCCAGTCAGTGCCGACAAACTGAAAGTCATGGAGACTGAATGATGTTGATGAAAACGAACCAAAATCTTGGTTGTTTTCACTGACTGACTGAAGGTCTACAAATCGTTTACCTGTCACTTTAATTTCAAAGTTGTGTTTTTTTTTTTTTTTTTTCCAGTTATTTTTGGGACAGGGCACAGGACACTTGTAACAATGCACTCCATGAAACGAATAATGCTTAAAGAACAGTGGCGGCGCTTTCTCTGTTCATAAATATTTTTCTCGTTGTGTTGACTCTGTGTCAATCAAGGCATGGTTTTAAAGAAACTTGACCGAATTCTCTACACAACAGCTTGTTTTCAGTCCTTAGAAGCGTGGCACCATTTTTGCTTGAGTACTTATTTCAAGATGAGTGTGCAGATTCACCTTTAGCGCTCTTGATTACTTAATCTGACAGCAGAAAGTCCTTTTTTTTGGATTAATTGCTGAGAAGCTGTGATTTTTTTTTTTTTTTTTTTTTTTTTTTTTTTTAGCTTCTCTATTCTGTCTCCAGTCAGCAGAATATTAAATAACAGTTCCCCAAACCCCCTTTGCTGCCAACACTTTGTATGCCTACACATCTTTAAAAATGGTCCATTGCTGAAGGCATCACCCACTAGTTCAGGTTCCATGTGTAATACGAAAGGCCAACAGTGCACTTTTAGCAGCCTGCTCTCTCCCAGTCCCCCCCCAACCCCCATTTTATGTTTTGCAGAATAATTGGTGCTGTTTTTCTTACTGACGTTTCAATGGTTTGTTGAAAAATATAAGCTAAAAGGACAAGTTGAAAGATTGTTTCTTTAAGCATCGGAAAAAATGGTTGAGTCAATCTCTTGTTTGACTCGGGCTTTAAAAAAAAAAATGAAGGCTTTAGATACCACTTTTCTAAGTCTTACAAAGCCATAAGGAAGCTTTTTCTGCCACTTTTTTTTTTTTAATGCTGAACTGGTAAGAGGTTTAGGAAGAAGTTAAAGCCAGGAGCAATGGTTAGATTTACTAACATTTGAATGATAAACTTTGGTGAACATGGTGGTTACAAAGCTGTTTCTCTTGTTCCTGATGAATAACATATGACACTCCAGTTGGGGAAACAAATGGAATGATTTGAGAACGTATTAAAAAAATCTGTATGCCCAAACCCAACAACTTGAAGGACAAAACAAGACTGGCTTTGGATTGCAGACTTCAAAACTCTCTTGCAAAGTTTGGGACTATGGAGTGGAAAGTCGATCTTGCCATATTGGATGACCAGCTGTAGACTTCATTAAGTAGCATTGCTGATAGTTATGCTTGGCATTCCTTGACTCGCTGCCTTTCAGTTTCTGAATGGGGAAAAATGCAAGACAATAAGTTAGCACACGGACTTTGCAAAAAGTGAAATGGAAGACGCTGGCCGAATTTAACACTAGAAGTTCGGTTGGAATGTTTGATGGACTTCTGTTTTTTTTCTCTTAAGCTCAGCAATTTCTGAATGTTTTCTGCTGTGTGTGTGTGTTGCAACATTTCTTGAAAGCTTTGTATATTACTCCTGTAACTTTTTTTTTTTTTTGGTCAAATATATATTGCTGATTAGTGTTAGTGACCAGTGGCATACCCCTTTTTTTAAATTACTTGCTCTAAATTGGCTTTGCAAAAAAGGGTCTTTCAACTTTTCAGACTGGCTTAACAAGCTGGGACTTGGGTAGCCGTCAACCGTTGAAAGGTCAGAGTTGGGTTTATATTGTCATGACTTGGGGTTCCTGGCCAAAATGAACCATGGAATTAACGAACATCCTTCTGCTAAGAGTTTTCCACCTTCAGAAGACTTTGGTATAATGCTTTTCCACGTGTCTCTTGCAGTTTTTGTAAACCACTTAGACTTTCTTTTGTAGCTTTTTTCCTTTTCAACATTTTTTACACATGGGATGGGTTTCCATGTTTTAGTTTTTTTTTTTTTTTCATTTCTGTTGCCCTGGAATATTCTGTACAGGATTCTGTTATATCCTGCTTAATTTTAAGAAAAAAAATGTAACCACATCTGTATTTATCAATACATATCCAGGACAAAGAAATTAAATGCAACTATTTGAGAGTTTAAGGAGCACTTGTTCAAGTCTATAAGCTCGAGAAGTTATCTAAAGGTGGAAGAACTTTGTGGTTTCAGATGTTCCAGGATAGTTGTTGATTAGATGTTGAAGTTCCCCTCCCTTCCACTTTTAAAGTTTATCCAAAGAGTGAAATAAAAATCTGTACCATCCAGGTCTAATATTTGTCCAATCACCACCAGGGGTGGACTGACCATTTGGGTACTCGGGCACTGCCCCAGGGCCCGGTGTCTATGAGATGCCCCTGGTACCTTTCATAGGCTTTTTTGGGTGTGGTTTGAGTGAGGGCGAGGACACAGGGGCCCCATGATCCCCTACTGCCCGGGGGCCCCCTGAGTTGTCAGTCCGCCCCCGATCACCACATAGGACAAAAGATGCAAATCCTTACTCTGGCTGTTGTCTTTTTCAGTAATGCTGTCCAGTTTTTTCACTGTTGGTAGAGATTGTTTGATATTCTCTCCAACTATTTTTTTATTGTGTTTTTTTTTTTTTTAATTTATATTTTGTACCGTGATTTTTAAAAAAAAAATAAACCAAAACTGCCTTTTCAAAGTAGTTTTGAGTAGTCTTTTTGAGAACATAACTTTTTTTTTTCCTAAAATTAAATGAGCACATACATTGTCTATCAAATTGGGTAAAGAAGTAGAGACAATATGGACAGAACGATAATGATGCTATAAAAAAAATAGATATATTTGATAAGTATTGTAGTTTAAACGAATTTAGAGAGCTTCAGATATTTTGGAAAAAGGGTAATAGCCAATTATCTGTTGGACTATTTATTACCTTTTAAAAATTAATAGTTCTCTTAATAAACAATGGAATATTACTTTTTTTTTTTTTGGCAGTAGAATAACTGCAGGTTTTTCTCGTATTCCCAAATAGTCCACAAAAGTGCCAATTATGTAAACTTGTAGAAAGAAAGTGAATGTTATGCTTTTTGGTTTTTAGGAAATGTCAGGTCTTGGTAAGACCATACTTAATGTAAAAATAGGATGAGCAAGAGGGTCTGGTGTATACTATGAAATCCAATATTAATCGTCGGACACATTCTTCTAAATATGCGTTTATGCCTAGCAGCCAGTTTAAATTCATTTTTTTTTTTTCCAAGCAAAAATAATAACTGTGAGCTCAAAACAAGCTTTTCGTGGTCACACATTCAAAATTTCCTCACGGTTGCTAATTGGCCACCCTACAGGGCCACGGTGTACCCTTAGCTCATATGGACAATGTCTTCATCCACTGCAGCAGTCCACTGCAGCGCCAAGACTTCAATGAATGAACCAACAGGTGCACCTTTTCTTCCCCTTCCCACAATGCAGTGCTCAGAGCTTCAGGGACCTATTTCCAAGATCATTGGGGCGGGGGGGATACTTGGCCAAATCCTAATATCATGCATGTATAGCATCTTTGTGGGGCTGTATCCGATCAGAGCAGTGGTCAGGCACACTGTAGGTACAGGGGGGCACTGGAGGATGTCTACTACGGCAGCTGGGCTTTCATGAACGTTGTGTCTAGTGTCCCTTTAACTGAAGCGCTAAAAAAAAAAAAAATTAGCCAAACAAATGATGCAACCTTAATTTCATGAACCAGAATTAAACCTTAATTTAATGACGCAACCTTAATTTCATGAGCCAAAACTTTATTAGTCTGCTCTCTAGGCTATTTTGGCAAGCTATCTCTTACCAGATTGCCTACACTAGCCATTCTCAGCCAGTGTTCTGTGGAACCCTAGGGGTTCCTTGAGTTGTAGCTCATTGACCTATCTGATGCCTTCATAGTTCCCAGGCCAACGCCACTAGGCAGAGTCAAAAGCATGGCACTTTTTAGCTGTCTTTAAGGGTGGCATTCTTGGGTTGCATTCCTCTTGACCACCAATGTAAGGGGCATTGTCCCATTTGACCACCGATGAATTGGATTTAGTAAGGGTTCCTCTAGTATAAAAGGTTGAGAAAGGCTAGCCTACACCATTCTATGGTCAAGTTGATACGTCTTTTTCATTACATCTTATTTTTTGATTTCGAGAACACAAGAAAGGATTCCTGATTTACGGCTAATTTGCAATGGGCTTATTGTGAAGGGAGCAGATTGCATGACCTTTCATTATGAAGACCATATTTGGCTTCTACAATTATGTCATGGATACTTTGTAGAGGTCATTTCGAATTGTGATCTATTTTTTGCATGCATTATCCCAGTTGTAATTCCTTATTAGTAGTTTGGAAAATTTAAAAAAAAATTACAGAATTTAGTTTAAATATATTTTTTTAAAAACTTGGATACGG